TTCTTTTAGCCCGTCCGTTTGTGAGAGGATCTCTACTGCTCTCCCTGTCGCACAGAAAATAAAAATACAAGTGGCCTTTAGGGGAAAAAAATCATACATATTTTAATAATATCAAGAATTACCTTCAGGCTCAATTTGTATCTGGTCGAGGCTCTTTCCTTCGAATTCCGTCACTCTTCCCTGCTCCATGGCCATCAACACTTTGCTGATTTTGGCCAGCTCCAGTGTCCCCTCTGGTAGTCTGTAATATTGCCTGTGGATGCGAATGTCATGGCCGAGGAAGTTGGCAAGTATGTCCATTTCATTCTCTTTCATATTGAGAACTGTAGACATAGTAGCTATGTGCTTTCTAAGTTTGGTTGAGGATAGCATCTCTGGATGCACCGCACCACATTCTTTGGCTACCTGGCGTAGGGAGTCTGATCCCCTGATGTGGGTGTCTGCGCCCGGGCGGGAAAAGAAGTATGGGTTATGGTCAGAGATGGAACAGGCCCTTTCTGTTCTCCACCAGCACCTCCATCGAAGCAATCATTTCAGGAGTCAAAAGAACCGGCACTTTCCGACTTCTTTTCCCTTTAATTTCAATGCGTTGAAAATGCTGACACAGCTTTTTCTCAAGTTGGGACAGTCCCAGAGCAATGTCAGAATGGATCCCAGTCTTACTTCTTAAGGTAAAGGCTGTCAGTGGCATCTTTGAAACCTCACCTTCCCTTCTTTGATTGAAAATGATGACCTCACAAAGAGTCAAAACTGCCAGTTTAGACCAATGCTTAGACGTTGGCTCACTTATTAGGGTTTGCACATATTCAGGTCGACATACCTCAATATGTGCATGCATGGCTCTAACGTCCTCAGTCAGAGGGAGCAGGTCCGGAGTGTTCCACTTGGCTTGCCGGAGGGTCTGTAGGGCAGCAGAAGAAACACAGACGTCCCACCTCTTCTCAAAAAGCAGCCGGCTTCGTTGGAGGTTTTTAATAAATAGTTCATCAACACAATGCTCCATTTTTGAGTCACATTCAAGAATATCTGCTAGCTTTCTGAGGCTATGGCCGAGTTTGAGGGCCAAGGATGGAGTCTTGTATTGATTTGTTTCCTCATCATATCCAGCCACAGACCTGACTGCATCAATCACATGGTTAAAGTTGGAAGGAATAAAGAAATCCTTAATTGTTTTCAGTTTCCCTGCGGTTTTTGCTTCGTTAATTAACCTACCGACTTCTCTCATTTTCTGCCTAATGTAATCATGCTTAGTCTTATCATGCCCGTGTTTTAAGTACAGGTGCTCTCCGAGTCTCAGAATCCCCTTTTCTGCTTTGACAACACCCGTGACCTCATCCTGATGCATTGCCGAAATTAAAGACCACAGCTTTTTGCTGATGCCCTCCGGTACAGGCTGGGCTAGGGAGCAGAGGGACTGGACCCTACTTCTACCTGGTTTAGCCTGGTTTAGCCTGGTTTAGCCTGGGCATCTTTCTGTGAAAGCCGGCACCTGGCCACATGCCTCCACAGCGACTTTCGCTTAAGCAATGCCCCACAGTCTATACAGTGCAAAAACTCACTGGATTTAACTGGGGAATTTGGCTGTTTAGCTGGGACTAAAGTTCCAATGCCGGCCTTTAAAACCTCAAAATTGTGCTCACGGTTTCCACTATTCCTGATCAAATCAAACTGAAGTTTACGTGCTTTAGATTTCACAGGTAGAGCCAATGCTCTGGCTACGTCACTTTCATTTCCATGTTTTCTAGTCAAATGACGGGACATTTTGTGGCAGGACATTGAACAGTAGAGGCAGAAGTGTCTCTTGCTGTAAACTCGCCCCCCATTTTTCTTCTTTTGCAGCTGCATGATAACAATCTTATTTGCCTTTGGTTCGTCACTTTCCGAGTCTTGAAGAAAAGTGTTTTTGATTTTTCTTTTTCCATACTTTTTTACAGGTTTCTTCTTGACAGTTAAATCGTCAGAATCTGAGTCGACTTCATCAATTAGGGACTCTTGACTAAGCTGCACAAACAACAAATAATTTGTAATCATTCTATATAACAATTTGAAGTCATGACTTGTAGTCAGCACTTACCAGTGGTTTGTAAGCGTGCGCTTCAGTGTGCTGCTCTGTGATTGGCTGCAGCCTAATGAACCACACACTTGCACCTTTTTCTAGCCTGACACCTGATTTCCTCTGTTGTGCTGCTCCATGATTGGCTCCAGCCTGCTGGACTGAAATTGCCCCAGTGTGCCCCTCCTTGATATCCCGCAACCCACCACCAGGGTTCCGACACCTAACACACTTTTTTCAGGAAAGTAAACCTCCAGGGGTCCTTTCCATATTTTTACAGAGACTGCATAAGGACCGTTAGAAAAGCATTACCCATTGATTATTAAGCTTGGACCAGTGGGGTCCGGTGTTCGGGCCCCACCACGTAAAACCAGTCCCCATGACGTGAGTGGAATCTCAGGTTATGGAACCCACCAGGAGTTGAAAACAAGTGCACAGACACACACACACACACACACACAGAGACACAGACACACACAGAGACACACACCTTGCTGATGACGTTGTAGTAGTCGTGCACACACAGACACACACACACACAGAGACACACACAGACACACACAGAGACACACACCTTGCTGATGACGTTGTAGTAGTCGTGCTCGGGGCCCATGACGGGGGGTGGGATGTCGAAGGAGCGCCTCCAGATCTTGACCTGGGCCTCTCCGTGCTTGGCGGCGGTCTCGGCCTTGTTGAGCCCGGTCAGGCCCCCGTAGTGGCGCTCGTTCAGCCTCCAGGTGCGGTGCACGGGGACCCACATCTGGTCGATACTGTCCAGCACGTGCCACAGCGTCCGGACGGCTCGCTTCAGCACAGACGTGTAGCAGATGTCGAACTCGAAGTTAGCATCTGCAGCAGGAGGAGATGGTCAGATACAGAACCATGTGTCTCTGATGCTAACATTAGGCCTGTCACGATAACAAATTTTGCTGGACGATTAATTGTCTCAGAAATTATTGCGATAAGCGATTATATTGTCGTTCTGAGATCATTTGCATCGATTACAATGATCATGCAGGTACACCTTTTCAAAGAGAAATAAACTTTTATTTTTAACGAATATTTAACGCTAGAACACAATAAATTTACAAACAACCAAAAACAATAAATAAAATACTCAGTCTCTTAACAAAAAATGACCAGGAATAAAACTGCCAGGACCTTTGTAAAGAAAATATGAAACAGATGCCTCAAATGTCAATAATTTCTCAGACTTTATGGCAGATTACGAGAAAGAAATACCAACATGTTGACTTTGTGTGGTTTAAGACAGGATCTCTCAGGAGTAGTCCCACCTCCCCACACACCAGGCAAATGACAAGTGACTGACATGTGGGTTCACCAATGGGGCGTACAGAAGTCCTGCTGCGGTAGCGCCCACCGGAAGTAGCGGGGCGGGCTTTGATGCTAACAGCTAAGCTAGCGGGTTTTTTGTGTAAAGTTCTACTCCAAGAATGCAAGTCTGCAGCATCTCTGTGTTCAGAGACCTTCTAGAGACTTTATATAACAGCAGTATGTGTTCACGGAGGTGCGCCATAAGTTTATTTTATTGGTATGGTACGGTACTTCTGCATCGGCGAACACGCTAACGCTAGCTGCGCTAGTATAGTCACTAATCAAGCCTGAATGAGAACTCAGCTGCCGGCATATGTTCACAACTACTGTGTCGACCATTGTAAATCCTGGTTAAGTCCTGGTTTAAGTCCTGTTTTGGCTGTATTTTGTATTTTTGAGTAATTTCCGTCTGCTTGCTAGACCTCTAATGTTCCCGTGACCACTTTGCGGCTCTCTGACCCGAGAGAGACGGGGGAGAGAGACGGGGAAAACAAACAAGCATGCAAATGGGATTTATCGCGGCCAGAAAAGTTATTGAGCAAATTTTATTTATCGTGCGATTAATTGATTTATTGACTATCGCGACAGGCCTAGCTAACATGCTAACAGGCTAACACGAACAGATGTAAACATACTACTGTAGAAGCACTAGAATATACAGGAATTATGCTAAAGTCACAGATGTTGTTGTATTTTAGTTATTATTCATTTGTTGTCGTTCATTTATCTTGTAAATGTGCTCATTCTCCTGTTCTGTAACGATGCAACACTGACATTTCCCCGCTGTGGGACTGATAAAGGATCTTCATCTTAACATTAAACAAAACAACAGCAGTTTCCCTCGATACCAAGGATTCGTGACAAGACTCAGAGAAATGTGTAAAATCTGTTAAAAGATAATAATTTAGACCAAATGAGTTTCAGCGATTAAACTGACAGCACATGAAAACAAGACGTTCTTTAAACAAACTGAGGAAGAAAGTAGGTGCAGTTAGAGCTTTTGCCTCACAACAAGAAGGTCCTTTCTCACTTTGAGCTCAATTATAGATTTTAATTTAATCTGCCAAATGTAAAACTTACA